GTATACAGGGTAAGTATCCCTACTCACATGTGTGTTCGCTAACAAGACGGTAAATATGCACATCGCGGGTCTGACCGATACGATGAGCTCGATCTTGACATTGTTTGTCCATGGCCGGGTTCCAGTCTTGGTCATAGAAGATGACTGTGTCGGCACCCGTCAAATTGATACCAAGACCGCCGGAACGAGTTGAAAGAATGAAGCAAGTGATTCGAGTGTCGTGGTTGAAGCGGTCCGTCAAAATTTGACGCTGTTCAACCTTTGTTGCACCATCAAGACGCAGATATTTGTGGCCATGAATGTTGAGGAACTGCTCTAGAATGTCGAGAACCTTTGTCATTTGGGTAAAGATAAGTGCACGGTGACCGCCGGCATGCAACCTGCGCAGGAGCTTGTCCAACGCTTGGAGCTTGCCGCAGTCGTACTGGAGGAGACGCTTGTCAGGGAACTGGATGCTGAGGCGCATCCGGGCTTCGTGCCAAGGATCAACAGGCCGCTCTTTGGGCATGTAGGGAGCATACTTGACTGGTGCTGAAAGCCTCATATCTGCCTCCTGGAATGCTTGGATGCCCTTTTCCCCAAGTAGGAACCTGTTCAAATCACCAGTGACCACTGCCGGGGTGACACATGCAAACTTGGTGATGGTCGTCTCCATCGACTCTGCTCGTTGTTGAAGAGTAGGGATTGCACTGTGCAAGAAGTGCAGATCCTCTTCAAACCAGCTCATGATCTTTTGAGGGAGCTTTGGTCGCTGCTTGTATGGTCGACGATGAGTGTCGAGCGTTAGCATCTCGACAAGACGCTTCCCGTAAATGGGACGTTGTTGACGACGGAGGGCGTTCAGATAGACGCAATGCTGAAGCTCTTCAAACCGACCCCACCGGGCGGCGCTCTCAAGATACACAATATTTGACTTTACAGACGCTGGATCCAGGTTATGGTAAGCGTTGTTGGCCCGAATCTTTTGCGCATCTCTCAGATCGGGAAAGATACGGAGCGCGCTAAGTTGAGCGATGCGATCGGCATGGGACGTGGACATGTCCTCGTACTGTGTTGGGATCATGTTGAGGAAGCTGAGGCTTACTGTGCTCATCAGCTTCTCGGCCAACAACTTCTTCCTGACAATACGCTCGTTGATCTCGTAATCAGCTGCAACAGAACGTTGCATGCGGAACGAAGTCATGATAGGGCGATCAACGAAGAGATCCGGATGGTTGCAGACCTTCCTCAGTTGCATCAGACAGTTAATGATAGACATGTAGTTGCCAGATGACAAGGTCTCACGGGTGTCAGCCCGGGACAAGAAGCCATCGTAGAGTTCTCTCTGGCGTTTGGAAAGACGACAGAACTCGACATGCTCGTACTTGGCCGGCATCTGTTTCTCGACATCTGCCTTCAGACGGCGGAGGAGGTATGGTCGAAGGACCTTGTGGAGCTTGGAGATGATAGCCCGTGCTTCATCATCCAGTTGCTCTCGTCCGCTCTCAAGGATTTGTGATTCTGGCCTAGAGAACCAATTATGAAACTCCCTGAGATCAACGAAGCCGCCCTCGCCATTTTCGGGGGGGGCAAGAAAGTAAAGAAGTGACCAGAGCTCTGTCAGGTTGTTTTGCAGAGGGGTACCCGTCAGGAGCAAACGAGCCTGCGTGTTGAAGCCAAGCAGTGTTTGCCACCGCTGAGATTTGAAGTTCTTGATGTTGTGAGCCTCGTCGAGAATCATGTAATGCCATCGCCTGCGCCGGAACACCTGTTGGTCTTGGAGCACCATTTGGTATGATGTGATGCAAACGTTCCACACGTCATCATTGGTCCACCCCTGTCGTTTTCTCTTGCGCTCTTCTTGGTTACCATAGTAGGTGAGAATTTTGAAGCCAGGACACCACTTCTTGAACTCCATCTCCCAGTTGAGCATGACACTTGTTGGGACAATGACGAGATGTGGACCCCACACTTCGTGATGGCATGCCAGATGCGCCAGCAACGCGATGGTCTGGATGGTCTTGCCCAGGCCCATTTCATCGGCGAGAATTCCGTTGGTGTTGTTGGCATAAAGGGCTGCCAGCCAATCCAGCCCGTGATGTTGATACTCACGCAGCGTTCCACGAAGCAGAAAGGGTATTTCTGTCTTTGGGGCATCTTGCTGTGGAGTGAGCTCTCTGCTGTCAGATTTTGCGGCATTGAGCTGTGATGTCGATACGGGCGTTTCTGCATCAGTTGGTTTAGTGTCGTCGGATGTCCTTGGCGATTGGCTTCTAGATATACTGTGGGCATTGGTCATTGGCTCCGTCTCGGGGCTATGGTGATGGTTGGCTGCCGTGGACTGGGCATCGAGGGCTTCGTCTACTATAGGTGCGTCTACCATCGACACATCGACATCATGCTCTGATTTGACCCTGGTGGCAACTGGCTGTGCTTGGCTGGCGAAGGTACGAGCTTCATCAACGGGCTGTACATCGGCTGGTGGAGGTATTGGAGACACTGACGCTGTAGACTTAGTGGCGGACACGTCGACTTGTGGTGGTGGATGTTCAGCAGTGGCAGTTGCTGTCGCAGACTGTGGATTCTCTACCAGAACCTCTGCCAACACACCACTCATTGGTTCGCCTGCTTCAGCAGCTGTTGAAATCGGCTCAGATGCTGACTCTTTCAGATCTGGCATCACAGAATCCCCTTCCTCCGTTGGCGCGGGGGCATCTGAAGGATCAACGTCGGCCATCTCCACATCTCCATCGCCTTCAGCTGAGGGTTCCTCAGGCGCAGCCTCCACCTCAAGTTTCTTCAACTCAGACTTTTTGAAGAACAAGGATAGCAGCCCAGCAGGTTCGTCATCCGACTCCTCACTGCCTTCGTCTTCTTCTTCCTCCTCACTTGAGCCAAGGTCGTCATCCATGTCTACCGATTCATCGCTGGTGTCCATATCAGTTGGACCACCATGTGGAGTGTCGGCCGGCGTTGTGCCCACGTCTGGTTTCGAATCATCGACCTCCTTTGACTCCAACACCGGTAGGTTGGCGTATTTCTCACGTAGTTGGTCTTGCGTCAAGCCTTCATCGGACAGAACAGATTCCTTATCATCATCATCTTCCGACGACGACATGTTGCTCTCATCATCAGCCTCTGAACCCTTATCAGACTCAGAAACATCAGAGATGTCCTCTTCGTCATCCATATCCGAGTCCATATCTTCGTCATCATCGTCGTCCTCGCCTGACATTTCCTCAGCATCGTACAGTGTTTGCCTGGCTTGCAGCTTTTGTTCCGACAAATTGACTGCTTGGTTCAGCGCAGCCTTGACGCGTCGCTGCTCCTCAGCCTCCCATTCCACAAGCCGTCGACGGTTGACCTCTACCCTGACGTTCTCCCATGTCCCCACTATTGCCTTCCCAACTTGCCTCCACCGTGCCTTGCTCTTCTCTCGCTCCTCAAACTCAATCTCTTCAGCTGTCTTGGGTTGCGGATTTCGCCGCCTCCATTCAGCCTCGCATGCAAGGGCTATCCTCTTTGCTGTGGCACGATGTCGCTGCTGCTCATTAAGCATCAACTTACGAAAGTTGCTCATAGCCCTTGTAAGGTGATCCAGATGTGCCCATTGCCGTGGTGGTTCCTCCTCCGCTTCTGGCTCGAATACCGAACATCTCTCCTCTGCCAGCAACCCGCCTGGTTCTACCTCCTTCTCGACCCGCAAAATGATGGAGGCATCCTCTTGCACGAGCTTATCAGTGTATCGAGGACCATCTTCGGCGGTGATCAAGAGCCCTCCCTCTTCCACAGGAATATTGGCTGCTCGCACGACGTACTCTTCGAAAGACGGGCCGAGCTTTGGTCGTAGATTTGCTTGGTCCCGATGGACCAAAGGTAGCTCTGTCAGGGGTGGGCGGCGGAGTTTGATACGGGGGGTGAATCGGATAGCGGCTGGGGAGGTACTGTCATCGTCATCGTCATTATCTCTAAGGCGACGCGTGGAGCGGCGCGTGCCAAGTGATTGCCTCGTAGGCGTGGTGGGTCGCCTTGGGGATGTGGATCGTCGACGACTTCGTGCACTCGACCGGACTTCCTGGGTCATCGATTTCCGGGGTGGAGGTTTGGACATGGAAGCCTTGGATGCTGCGTGTTTGCTGGAGGGTATCGGACGCTTCGATGCGCCTCCCGAAGCGGGGGTTGAGCTGTTTGCACTTGCAGAACCATTAGCTTGCCCACGCCCTCTTCGCGGAGGACTGGCTTGATTATTTCCCCGTGGCGTTCGCTTGTCCTGCTCCAAGTTCACCAGGTTGATGCGCCCCGATTTGCGACGGCCATCCTCTGCTATCAACCTGGTTGGCCCTTCGGCTTCAACCTTCTTCCATGGCGGGGATTCGACCTTGGGCTTCCTGATGGTATTATTTGGGGTCGTATCTCGGACTCGTCGACGTTTGGCAGGTGGCCCATCATCGGTGGAGGGGGTGTCGTGGGCATGGTCGATGCCGTTGCTTTTCGGAGCCTGGTTGATGGCATTTTGTTTTATCTGATCGAGCTTGGCCAGGACCTGTTCATCATCCTCGAATTCACTAATTTCGCTGGATGAATCCTTCGTCTCTGGGGGTTCGAGGTCAACGTCGACGGGCTCGGGATGGGTGGTGGATGATGGTTCGTCATGGTGGTGGTGGCCATTGTTGTCGCCGTTAGTGGCAGGCGGAAGAGCGTGTGTTGGGCTCGGCGACGCGATCTCTGTCATAGTAACAAGGGACAGCGCGAGGCAAAGAAAGCCGAGAGCTCGACGAAACTGGCATCTGGCAGGCCGAAAAACAGGTCAGGCGAACGGGACGGTCGCGGGGAATCTCGTGTCGGAATTTCAGCATGTCCAGGCCGCTGTGGTGGTTGCTGCGGCGTGAATAGTGTCGAAAAAGCCCGTCGTCAGCAAAACTTTTGAGAGCCGACAAAAAATTCCAACTCATGACCAAGCTTGATTGAAAGGCGATTGCCGCGGCCGCCCAGTGCGAGGGCGCGCCGTGGGCTTGGCTTGGCCTCTGCTCTGCTTCTTTTTGGTGGGCTGCGTGCATTGTTGCCTGAGGTGTCCACTTTGTGACCTCTGAACAGCAACATCCAGCCAATCACAGCTCTCACAGCTCCAACCACGACGAGGCCAAACCTCTGGGGGATAGCTTCGAAACTCAATCGTCATCAATCAGCCCTCACCTCACACTATCGCATTGCGGCACCCCCAACGCCACGGCATGTCACCATTTGCCCTTTCACCCTCTTCTCGACACATATGCTAACTCGCTACTCACAGATGCTGTCCAGTCGAATTGTGCGGGCAGCGCCCCTCCGGACTGCCGCCCTTGCGGTTCGCCGACTCCCCCTCATTCAAACCCGAACTTTCCTCCCCGAGTCCATGGTCGGCCGCGCCAAGCTTGACGAGAAGTACCCCGACTCCGACTACCCCAAGCTGACTGCGGCTGAGGATCCCGAAATGGTGCGTTGTGGAGGTCGAGGAGGAGCTCTGGGTTGAGAATGGCCGGCAAAACTGACAGGAGCATAGAACGGCGGTTATATCAACCCTCCCCGTGTCAAGCGCCAATTCCGTGACCCTCACGCCGACTGGTGGGACAAGCAGGAGCGCAGAAACTTGGGCGAGCCGGTTCACGAAGACAACGATATTCTGGGCATATTCTCCACCTACGAGTACACATGGATCAGCCCTGGCAAGGGTCTGGCCCAGATTGGCGCCTTCATTGTGGTCTTCCTCGGCGTTGTCTTCACCGTCAAGCAGGTTTACCCAGACCGTGTCAGCTACCCCAGAGAGTTTGAGGGTGGTTTGATCAGGGAACTGGGTGGAGAGGGTGCTATCCGCGTAAGTGGACAGTCATTGGACCTGAGTTTGGGTCAAGCTAATCATTGGAAACAGGCCAGAATGGAAGGTGATGAGGACCCCTGAAGTGGAAGTAGTATGTGAGGAGTTGTAAATATCCAGGTTATTAACGACCTATGTTGTGCAATTGAGTCCCTTTGTCAAAGAACAGCTTAGCAGGCAGTCATGTCCGGCCAGTCTTTTGATCTAGTTTCGGTCCATCGTCTACTGACATGGATCTTGAATCCCAGCTGGGTGGCGACTGATCCGTGCCCTGCTTTCCGTTGATGCCGATGGAAGGTTGGAAGCTGTGGGATCTTGGAAACGTGGAAAGAGCTTTATCTGATCCTGCCGCGATTATTGGTATCAGGAGGGTGGGGAACAGCTCATACCACGGGTGACCCAGCAGGCGCGGTAATGCCACCTTTGACTTTATTGACAAACATAGGACCCTTTGCAGTTTCCTGAGTTAGCTTGCCAGCTTCCTCCAAAGAGGCGGTTCCCGGTTTTCGGAATAGGTTTTCTGTTATGCCGCTTCCTGCCGTTTTTCTGAATCGGTCTCAAAATCTCAGCTGGCAACCTTGATGACACGGGCGTATGATCTTATGGTCTAGACTAAGGCAGCAAGTGTTTCCCGCTCATTTCAACTGCAATTCCGACAATCAAGCCGCCCCCGTCACTTCCTCGATGGGATCTCTCAGTCTCAGCATCCGAATCGCCCCAACTTCCACAGTCAAAGCACCCAATTGACTGTCTTGGAATTACACCACACAGTTGAACCGGGGCCGAAGCTACTCGAACCCCATCCTTCTTCGTCCCTTTCCAATCATGCTGAGGGAAGTACCGGTCACACCGTGCGTCATTGGGTCCCCTACCCCCGGTAGCTCCCAAAGATGCCTATCGGCACGGGCCCGCCAAACTACCAACGCGGGCACCAAAGTGACGTTGCTGATGTTCTGATATCAGGCATCTCCGCTCGCAACTCTGTTTTTGGCTTCTTGGGAGTTGCCAGCCTTGATGGCTGTGTAATTGGCTTGGTCACCTTTCTCTTTTGTTGCTGTTCTCTTGGTACCAGTTCCTTTCCTCTCCATCATCATCGAGCAAGTCTTATCAGTCTCTCTTCTCGACAAAGCATCCTCCTCTTTCGACCACCACGATGCGCTACGACGACTGGGATGTCATCCTTTTCCCGACTGGCCGAGACGCCAAAATTCCCTTCAAAGAGTTCAAGGTCGCCTGCCATGCGATTCCCGATGTCGAGTTGTCCCACATTCACGGCTCAGCTGGTATGTCGGTAATGATGCCGGTAATGACCTGCTTTGTCCCGAGTTTGCCGGCCGGGTCCTCGTTCCAGATATCCCTTCACTGCTGGCGCAACCCCGAGATCAGCCAATTCACCCGGACTTACAGCAAGCACATGGAGCTAGTCAAATATGAGGCCCGTATTCTCCTCGACGGACGCTTGGTTGCGTGGGTACTGCCTGGCTCTTGATGAAGTCCCCTCCTGACCGGCAACTAGTTCGACTGTCCTTGACCGCAAAGTCAACGGCCCACATCTTATCACTAGCACATTTGGTTTGTGGTGATTGTTATCCTTGTCAGTGATCTTGCAGTAACATGTTCTGGCAGAATTTACCAAAACCGGCGAGCTTGAGCGACTCAAGTTTCCGCATTTCCGTCGCGAACTTATGTTTCAGAGCCACTGGAATCCCGCGGACGACATTGGTCGAATCAAGGTCGTGATCAGCGAAGGCTTCCCTCGGGACTCCCTCTCAGTTCCCATTGAGAGAGTCAAGAACGTCGTGGCATTTTCCTTTCAGCATGCTCCTCTTGGTCCGTCTTGTTTCCCGGACCTCTGGTAGCAACTACGGACCGAGGCTGATGTGATAGCACAGAGATTCTCGAGGCCAATGGCATCGCATGGCCCAATCCTTCGATGTGGCGACGTCCTTCCGCGAACCCTTCGATGCCAGTCCCCACATACCAAACCAACGATGGAGCAGATCTTCACAGCCACTCTCCACGCCGCAAGTCATTGCTTCTTCGCAACGTCAAAAGCCAAGGGTTCCCTACTCCTCCAATACCGGGCAGCATCTTCCAGCCCCAAACAACGTCAGGATATCTTGGCAGCTCAACATTTCCCACCCCTCTTCTTCCCCGTACTTCTGTCAATACGTATGCGGACCCTTTTAGTTCATCGTCAGCATACATGGACTGGGTAAACTCCATGAGCTCCATCGTCAATAGCGGACAGTCAAGCGATTCAAACAACTCTTTCAAGGCCTTTTGGTCGAGCTCTACGATGCAGGCGCGCAAGCAAACAAGTGACATTAGCATGCCGGATTATAGCGCCACCATGGACGAAGTCGATGACATGAAGGTTCCGACCAATACGCCTACAGCCTTGGATCTAGATCATCAATACCATCTGCCTCAGCATCGCCACGATGCGTCGCTGCTGCCCCCGAATCTTGCATCCAGTCTGACACAGTCACTCTTGAACCAACCCATTCCGCTTCCATCGTCAGAAATCAAGTCCAAGAAGGAGACCAGACATCACCTGGGAATGGGGCTAGGGGAGGTCGATCCCAACACGGCCTTCCGAATGGGAACACCTATCCCCGGATCAGGGGGTGCGGCCTGCCACTCTGCACGGTCATCCTCCACAACATCATCGAGCGAAGAGTGCGGAGACCGCGGTGGGTTGTTCGGAGACAAGGGAAAGGAAAACGCTGCACCGCCGACGCTACCAGATCAGACGGTTTTCTCTGGTAGTTCGAGAAGCACCTCAGGAGGTGAGCTTTGCTACAACAGCGGTGTCAAGAGGAACAGAACGTTTACGCCTGCGAGTGCGAGGGCCATTGATGATGAGGATGAGCCAAGAAGGGCTAGTCCCCATGTCCGGGTTGCCGATTATGCTAGTGACAGTGAGACTCTTGGGACGTCCGTTGCTTGATTGGTGGGGCTGGGGGGCGGACGGTTTTGTGTTACAGCTACATTTATGTCGGCTCTTAGTGCTTGTTAATGTTTTGTCTGAGCTGGGACTTGGGCACTGCAGGCATATTCTATGGTCGTGGGTTTACAATATTCATTCATATGTGGAGGGTATTGAAGTAACCAGGACATGCATAAGAAAAAGATGGGTCGAAATAATTTGTATGCATAGGATATCACTAAACGAGCTCGCTCCCCTCCATGGCTTTGGTGTATCATGTGCCCTGTCTATTCTATCTCAATTAGCTTCAACCGAGCCCTGGGAAATTCTTTTATCCTGCACTTTGCAGTCAAAGGTCCTATTCATAGAGGCCAGGCTCGAATCTACCAAGGAATATCATGCCATCATATACGCTTGTAATGTTCAAGAACTCAGTATTCGTTTCTAGTCTGGCGTGGCCAGTTGCTGAGACAGAGACCTAGCTAATAGTTATCTAATGAGTGTAGTTACATTCTCTTCTTTCTTCATCCTTCTCCAGAGTTGACCATATCAGTTTCTTTTTTTCTTTTTTTTGTGTGTGTTTCTTTTTCAAAGTAGACCATATCAGTTCCTTCATTGTGGCGCGCCCATAAGAGATTGAAACACCCCCAGAATCTCCTCAGCGAGACAGTTTGAGATCGTCAACCTTAAAAGGTGTGCAGGTAGTGACCGACAAAGCTCTTGCCGATGCTGGTAACCTGAGAGGCGAGCTCGCCGGCGCCGAACGAGTTGGCCAGCGTCTTGGCCCACTCGGCGGCATGGCCCTGCACGGTTGCGACGATGAAGCGGTGCTGGTAGAGCTTGTTGTCCTTGTCGTGGAGGACGAGCCAGCGGTTCTCGCCTTGGGCGTTCTTTTGGCCGTATTGGAATTTGTCGTTGATGGGGAGGATGAAGTTGTCTAGATCGGGGAATAAGGGGGTTAGTATGGGATGGGATGGGATGGGATGGGATGGGGGGGTTGGGGGGTTGGGTTGGGACAAGAGGGGGTAAGGGGGGAGAAGCGCACCGCCTTCTTTTTTGGCATCGGGGAGCTTGCTCAGGTGAGTGGGGCTGGACTCGTCCTTGTAGAAGGTGTCTTGGATGTAGAGGAGGACGTCGGCTTGGTTTTGGGTGATGTTTTTGGCTTTGACGATGTAGTAGTTGGCTTTCTTGGTGCGGAGGGATTGGGACCAGGTGATTTCTTGGAGGGCGGAGTCCGCGTCGGGGGTGTAGGCCGGGATGGAGAGGGTGTTGCCTGCTTCGGGGGTGGACATTTTGATTTTGGGGGGGTGGGTTGTGTTTGGGTGATTGGTGTTGTGGTTGAAGTTATATGGGAAATGTGTGTTTATTGTTTTTGGTGAAGAGAAGGGAGTGGACTGTGGAGGGAGGATGGAAGGTCTTATATGGTTTTTTCCAGCTTGGGCTGCTTTCTAGTCGGATCCCGTCTTTGGAATTCATCATTTGCCTTTCGTGCTTGGGGTTCTTGAATGTGCTAGCCACGAGCTCGTTACCCAGTTTGGCCCTGTTGTCGAGTTTGATCGCATCATCATCATCTTCATCATCATCACCATCCATGAGGAGGAGCACAACTGGCAATCGAATCACACATCTAGACCCAATAGTGTTGTGGATGTTTCATATTGTCTATCCCAAAACCGACAATTTTCTCCATCATTCAGCTTCTTTCCTTGCGTTGAGGCGCATGCCACAGCTCGATTTGGATCCCTCGCTTGAGGCCAGATCGAGTCCCGACTTCCCGCTGCTAAAGTCTAGAATGTGATATTTCACGCTTGCAGCACTGTTTCCGAGCGGTGCCTGAAAACTTGTTTTCATCCTCGTGGTGATGCGTTGGTGTCAGCTCGTTCTGTAACGCCAAAACTAATACTCTTTCGGCATTGAAAAGGTGTTGGTGCTCGGGGAATGCATCATTGCATCGGAATTGGAAATCGAGATGTTGGTGATCGAGACCTAAGCCACGTGCCCCGCTTGGAGTTTAGATCGACGTGTGGTCTTCAAGACAGGAAAGGCGCTGCGAGTGGAGGCTAGCTGGGAATTGCTTTTTTTGGATATTTGATCCGGGGAAAGAGTAGGTTCTTTGATGATATCACGATGTATTGCAGATGGTGACAGAATCATTGCAGATTGCTGAAAGCAAATCTCCTGTTGCCTTATCTGGAGCTGCCAATTCATGCTGCCATTGTCACACCGCCAATTCTGTTGAATCCGTGATGATCTCGATTGTTCAGTAGCACAGTTTGTGCGATCAGGCCAGAACGTCCGTGAATAAAAGATGGCCGGAGGAGGCTTGAGAAAGGAGAGCTGAAGCGGCAGCAGGGAAAGATTGTGATGGAGAGAGATGCCGAGATACCCGGCGTTGGCGGCGGGGGTTTTGGTCACTCTGCACGGTGAAAGATGATGATGGCCACATCGATAATGTGGCAAGTTGAGGTTTGCGCAGAGATCGCAGCTGATCGCTTCGGAACTACTGACATATTGAGAATCCTGCTCCGGACGCTGTCCTCGATGTCACCGCTGTGATATCGCCCGAAGGCCTAGAACAACCGGGACATGGGAAGAAGCCGAAGATAGAGATAGGAGAGGCAAAGAGAAATTGAGACTGCGAGACTGCGAGACTGCGAGGCTTTGCCGGGGGAGAGGACCCGAACAAGATGCCTGTTATGTGGAAGTATAGAATGATTCGTATTTCCAATGTTCTTCAAAGCAGACTCCTCTTCTACAAGGCAAGATAACGGGCCAGTCGATTTCCACAATGTCTGGCAATCCATCCGACTCCAAGGGCCAAGTCTCTTCTGGCTCAGAGCCCCAGTTCACAAGGCAGAAACGCATGAAGTTCGAAAATGGCCAACTCGTTGAATACTGGATCGATGTCCCCGTCGAGAAACCGAAACCTGGTGAGTACATTTCAGGTTTTTTAGTAGTTTTGACTTTCACAGCGATGAATCATCACTAATCTTTTGCGCACAGTCGAGAAGCCGAAAGGCCCGATGGAACTCTTCAAGGAATTCAAGTTCGACGAGGACATCTCGCTCGGCTCCATCTTTCCCAGTCTAAAGGGGACCGACTTCGATGTCCTCACCATGAAGAACACGTCTATGATTTGGCTTGGCCGGGATGCCTCAGCGCTCAAGAAAGCTGGGCTGTGGTTCGAGACGGATGTTGAGTTCCGTGGCTTGTTGCAACCCATTCACGACGTCCTCCGTGATGTCTTCGCTCAAGAACAGCCCGGCCTGCATCTCTCAGCACACCTGGGCATCCAACAGGATTACAGCGACGATCTCATAGCAACGGGCTTCACCTTCAAAGGGAGTATCAACGGCATCAACCGTGGCTTTGGCGAGTTTCTCACTTTCCGCAACGCTGGTGTCGAGCTCAACGTTGTCCCGAGTAAAGGTGTTGATCTTGAGACCATGTGGGGGTTCTTTGGCACGCTGCACCTGGCCATCCCCAACTCGGTGGTGCCCCTTGTTCTGGAGTACAAGCTTCAGCCCAAGGCAGATTCTCTGGATATAGCTATGAACTTTGGCGGAAGTGAGAAGTGGGAGAGTGTCTTTGGCGTCTCAGGTCTTGATGCGAGTGTTCCTCTTGTCCACCTCGGCAACCCACCACTGACAGAATGCTGTTTTAGCTCGACAAAGTCACCTTTGGGACTTCAATCATCAAGTCGGACGTTGGGAGGACCTTGGAGTTCTCTATTCTGTCAACCTGGAATCTCGGTGGCGTTGTTGTTGAGCTGAGTGGCCACGTCAAGAAATGTTTGTATCCCTTGCCTCTTCGCCTATTTCACCTCGTTGATAGCCAACCAAGAACTGAGCAACGCTAACACAACTGATCAGCCGGCTCGCTCCTCCGCGGATACATCAAGACGCTGACAATGGATGACATCCGCCGGCTTTTCAACACCATGACGGGCTCCAACCTCGACCCTGTGGAGCAGGACGTCCGCTTTAGCGAACTGACCGTCGAGATATCTCAAGGGCGGCTGGTGTTGTACGGCGAGGTCTGGGTTGACTCATACAAGGTCGCAGCCGCTGAGGTTCTCATCTCGGTCGACGGTGTCATGATATCCGGTGCTGTTGACGACCTTCACATCGGTGAAGATGTTTGCATCAAGCAAGCCCGCTTGGAGTTGATCATTGGTAATGTGAACCCGCCCAAACCTCCTTCTCAAGACCACGCGGAAAAAGGAAAGGAGGCCACAGGGGGAACTCAACCGCCGCCTTCCAGCGTGAAAGGAGTTCCGGGACAATCACCAGCTCAGAAAAAAGGAACCCCTGTTGCAGCCCTCATCCGCGGCGATGTCGAGGTCCATACTGGCGACGCCAACCTCAACTTCAAAGTCGCAGCCGCTATTACAAAGTCTTCTGACGGCCCACTCAAGTATTTCGTGTACGGCCGGCTTGACTGTGAGAACGTCAGTATCGGCAAGATGCTGGGGGGGTGCCATGAGAGATGACCACCCTATGGATCTGCAGCTTGACTGCGTGACGCTGGTGGCGGCGAGTAAGGACATTTCTAACGACTACGGCCTGAATACGGCGCGGTTCCCGATCAAGGAAGGTGAAAATTTCCCCCGTCCTCGGTCACATACTCTTGGTCAATAACAGCTGACAGCGGGCGTGGATGCCCACAATAGGAATCTTCCTTTGCGCTGAACTAAAGTCGGTGCCGTTTGTTGGTGACTTGTGCAAGGGCACATCGCCAGAGGACAGGTACATCCTCCATGCTGGATATTCCAAGAAGGGCGGTCTCAGCGTCGGTATCATCTTGCCTGAGAGCATTCGAGTAGGTCAAACACGTGTGAAGTCTTCCACTCACCTGACTGACCATACCTCCAGATCGAGCTATCTCCCACCGTGGTGTCCGGGCCATTGACACTCATCATTGAAACTCAGCCCGAGTTGCGTGTACTCTTCCAAGCTACACTTTGGGTCACCCCCGAAGGCGAGGAGAAGCCTCTCCAGCTCGACCTTGGCGTGGCGGCCAACAACCTGCAGGCCGCAGCCTATGCGTGAGTCCCCCATATCAAACTAGAACCCTTGGCTCTCCTGCTGACCTGTGAATAGCCAGATGTCTGGCTGGTGGAAGAACCCCTTGGGTTTGAGTCCTAGGCTCAAGATTGGTACGCGAATAGCTCATAGTGATAGCGCCGTGGTTTCAGGTTGCTGACATCTCACTAGGTCCCCGCCTAACCCTGGAAGTCGAGATTGTTTACGAACAGTTCGTCGCCACAGGAACACCATCCGGCATGGGCTTCGAAGGCGGCTTCGTCGTCGACGAGGTGGACGCCTACGCGCTCGCCATCAACCTCGGAACCAACCCCAAGGAGACGCTAGTCAAGCTTCAAGCAACCCGCTTCGAATCCAGCCAAGTCATCAACCTCGTCAACGCGGCAGCAGACCTAGACATCGACAAGCCCGACCGCGAGATCATTCGTTTCCAGGACGTCAACGTCTACGCCAGTCCGCTCGGCTGCATCATCGGCACACAGGTTTACCCCCCTGGCTTCGTCGTGCAGGGCAAAGCCTTCATTCTTGACAAAAAGGTCGAGATTGACTGCCGGATCGGTAGTGAAGGCCTCAAGCTCAAGGGGGAAATCGAAGGCTTCACCCTTGGTCCTCTTGCAATCCGGGGCGGGAAGGGCGCTGATGGCACTCAGGGAGAAAATGCCTTCATTGACTTTGAGATCACCAAAGAGCGGCAGTGTTTTGAGCTCAGTGGGAGCGTGGCGCTCTGGGATCTTGAGGCTGGTGTGTTTGTCAAGGCACAGATCATGCCTGATCCGGAGCTTGAGTTCAATTTTGAACTGGCGTGGAGCGATCTCATCAAGTTTCAGGTCGATGGCAAGCTCATCAAGCCTGAGCCTGCTGACAGGGAGTTGGAGAAGGGCGGTGCTGGTGCCAATACCGGCGCTTTGGCGAACCTTGAAGATGCCGATTTCCAACTCCATGCTTTGATGGAGCAGCGGATCCTGACAGAGATCTCGGAGGCGATGCAGAAGTGGTTTGCAAGTGCTCAAGCGTCGGTTGACCAAGGTATCGAGGAGGCCAAACGCAAGGTGGACGAGGCAAAGCTTGAATTTGAGCGTAAATGCGAGGAGGCCAAGCAAGAGGTGAAAAGAACGCAGGCCAAGTTTGATGCTGCCATGGAGGCGGCCCAGGCTGACCTGCGAGCGGAAGAGGAAAAGTGCCGCCGGGAGCAGGTTGAGAACGAGCAGTACATCCTGGAGGAAGAGAAGCGTGCCGATGAGCACATTCGCCAAGCTGTTGCTATCTTGGACGGGAAGAAACGGGATTTCCAGGATGACATGGACGGCAAGAAGCGTGATCTTGCCCAGAAACGGCGCGATGGCGAGGAAGCCATCAATGGCAAGATTCGTGATCTCCAGGGATCGCGGGAAAAGCTCCAGAGGGATTTCGGCAACGCTATTCAGGCTTTGGAGAGTGCCAGGGCACGAGTGAATGAGGAAGAGTGTAAGTGGTCCTCGCCCCAGGGCATGTCTTGAACACTTTCTCACTTTCCATCTAGGGCGCGTCGATCGAGCAAGACGGGACTATGACGATGCTGTTGACGACCTTGATGACGCAGCATGGTACGAGAAGCCATTCAAGGTAGGGAGACTACTTCTGCATTTTGGTTAATTTGTACATACGCTGACGTGCAAACGAAATCCAGGCTTTCCGTGTCGGAGTCCTCGGAGCTGAGCTGGCTGTCATGAAGATGGCTCTTGGTGCGGCGAATCTCATTCTTAATGGTGCAAGATTCATCGTCGAAGGCGTCGCCTACAACATTGCACTCGGGGCTGTTAACCTGGCCGAGGGTGCTCTCCGTGCCGCCCGCGTCATGTGGGACGGCATCATTGCCGCCGCTCAAGCCGCTGTTGACGGTGTCGTGGCTATCCATGCTGCCGGAATAGAGATAGCAAAAGGGGCTGTCGTCATTGCAGAAAAGACTGCTTTGGGGATCAAGCAAGCTGCAGCAGCGACAAAGGGTGTTCTTTTGGCAGTTCAGGAAAAGATCTTGGAGGCTGCTCGAGCTGTGGTCAAGGGAGTGGCTGAGGGGATACACTTCATTGCTTTCCAGACAGCACTCGCGGCGCTCGACTTTGCACAGAAGAATACCACGTGGGTCGACATTGCAAAGGCAGGCCTCGACGCTGCCAAAGCGGTGGCAGCAGCTGTTCTTGCAGCTGGCAAGTGGCTCGCCCAGCGGCTGGCTGACACGCTCAATATCGAATTGGTCGAGCTGACTGGGTCTCTCAAGACCATCACCAAAGGTGGACCTTTTACCATCCGGGTTAAGGGTTTCATTCTGGGCGAGGCCTTTGACTTCCGGGCGACGTGGAGTCCGCGGGATGTCCTGGGGTTCGTTGTTGGGCTCTGTAAGGAGCTGTGGGACAGGTTCATGGAGAATGTGTTGGAGTTGTTTGAGGCGAGCAAGTTT